CCACATTGCTATTTTTAGCATGCTAGCTTGAGTCTGTTCACCTGAGCTGGGAGGCTTGCTCCCAGGTGCAGTGTAGACCTACCCTCAGTGACTCAATGGAGAATACTAATTGACTTGACAGATGCCACCACGGAGCCATCACTTAATTACTATTTCCAGTAGCACCTGGGATATATCTGGCAGTTTCCAAATAGAGAAGACGTCACGCTTCCTGCTCTGAGGTGTTCGCAAGAAATGATTTTCCATCAGTGCTGAGCTGGAGTAGAACTAATATCCCAGAGATGAAAGTTTCCATCTCTCACCACCAACCTTATTAGCAGAGCACTCTCCCTTGCTAGGTATTTTATGGTAATCAGTTACCACTATAACATCCAGGATAAAGATTTGGTTCTCCTTCCTTTCCCAATATTGCTGACGTCACTACCTTTGGAACAGAGCTTGTGCCATAGGATGCGCCAAAGTGAGCCCTGTGCCTGACATTGGGATACATAAAGAGAAAGTGATATCTTTAGAGGATTATAGTGTATACAATATACCACAACTTTCTGGGCCTTACCTGTGGTTTCAGTAGGAACAAGCCCTTGTCCTTATCTTTTAAAGCATCTTTTACGATGATTCATGCAAGAAGCATTAGCACTGCAAAGAAGGAAGCTACAACTGAAAATACAGAATAACATCTATAGAGACAAAGCAATGGGCCAGATTGCTCAGTGGTAGACACCTGCTGAAGTCAATGGAGTTAGAACTATGATTAATTTGACCCAGTGCACTAGAGGAAGCTGATGGAGATTTCTAGACATAGCACTCTGATTATAAACCAGTTCAGTGTCAACTGGAAAGACTGGGAGTTGGGGAGAATAGATGAAAACACTTTGCTTCCTTGCTTGGAGTAAACAAGACAGACTAGATGGTCTGCTATTGAATTGTGAAACAAGCATGCAAACTTCCTACATACCTAATTGCTTAAAACATACATAAGTCCCCCTCCCTCTATAAGCTTCATGGAATGTTATGTAAAGTGTATTGCCACCTCAAGGGTATTCTGGGAACTCCACCAATGCAGTATTTAACAAGTGCTGGGTTTACCATAGACTAGCCTCATGCTGCAGACAAACAGAGCACCAAGTGATCTGATTATATATTTATCACAAAGTAGTGTGATGCAGTCAGTTGGTTTTTAAACACACAAACCTGAGACTATGCTTTTCAGGGCAGATTAGTTGCATAAGGTTTAGCAGAAATGGTGCATTTTCAGGAGGGTTTTGGAGTAGATGGTAGGTGGCCAACACCTCAGGTTGGGTTGATAGCTCCAGGCCTAAAGAACAGCGTGGGAGGACGGGTGAAGAATGGGAGAAGGACATTTGGAGTAGTTAGGCCTCTTGTGCAGAGCGCAGCTTATACAAAGGGCTAGACTAGGAGCCATTGAGACTTGGCTAGGCCAGTTATCAGCCTGTATCTCAGCTACCTTTTCCGGTTACAATTATTGAACAAATAATGACAATCAGGTGGCCGCAGTACCTTTGGACACTTGTTAATTTGGGGGCATGGGACAGAGCAGCTTGTTACATCAGTAGATAATCTCCTGGCAATGGGCCAAGATTGCATCT